TCTTAATCTACTAATATTACTACTCTCTTACTACTTACCTTACTATTAACCTTACTATCTACTATGATATTTATATTACTATCTACCTTATTACCTACCTTACTATTGACTACACTATCTACCCTATTTAACCTCACTATCATCTTACTGTCTACCTTACTATCTATCTTACTATCTACCTCACTGCCTGTCTTACTGCTCTCTACTGCCTGCCTCACTTACTGCCTCACTTGCTGCCTGCCTTGCTTGCTGCCTACCTCACTGCCTGACTTGCTCACTGCGTGCTTCCCTTACTCACTTACCTTACTTGCTCACTGCCTGCCTTGCTTACTGCCTGGCTCATTCACTGCCTCCCCTCACTGCCTACCTTAATGCCTGACTCACTCGCTCCCTCACTCACTGCCTCGCTCGCTCACTGCCTGGCTTGCTTACTGCCTGCCTTGCTCACTGCCTCCCTCGCTCACTAACTGGCTTGCTCACTGCCTGCCTTACTAGCTGGCTCGCTCACTAACTCCCCTACTCACTGCCTTGCTTGCTAGCTCCTTACTGACTGGCTTGCTGACTGACTGGCTTGTTCACTGCCTCGCTCACTCACTGCCTCGCTCACTGACTCCCTTACTCACTGCCTCGCTTGCTCACTGCCTAACTTGCTCGCTGCCTGCCTCCTTGTTCACTGCCTCCCTCACTGCCTGCCTTAATGCCTGGCTTGCTCACTGCCTGCCTTGCTCACTACCTCAGTCACTAACTCCTTACTCACTGCCTTGCTCGCTCACTGCCTAACTTGCTCACTGCCTGCCTCCCTCACTCACTGCCTGCCTTACTTACTGCCTAGCTTGTTCACTGCCTCCCTCACTGCCTGCCTCAATGCCTGACTTGCTTGCTCCCTTGCTCGCTGCCTCCTCACTCACTACCTCGCTTGCTCACTGCCTGGCTTGCTCACTGCCTGCCTCCCTCACTTACTGCCTTGGTCACTGCCTCCTCACTCACTGCCTGGCTTGCTCACTGCCTGGCTTGCTCACTGCCTCCCTCGCTCACTGCCTGGCTTGCTCACTGCCTGCCTCACTAGCTAGCTTGCTCACTGACTCCCTCACTCGCTGCTCGCTTGCTAGCTCACTCACTAACTGGCTTGCTCACTGCCTGTCTTGCTTGCTGCCCCTCGCTCACTGCCTGGCTCGCTGCCCCCTTGCTCATTGCCTGCCTTACTGCCTACCTCACTGCCTATCTCACTATCTACCTCACTATCTACCTTACTGTCTACCTTGCTACCTACCTCTCTCCTAACTATGGTTAATATGATATATATTCCCTGATATGTCACTTATATATATATCCTGCGTATAAACCACGGATTCGCTAATATACTCTATAAACTAAATGTATAATATATATCTCTGCGCATTATGGTATCCTGAAAATATTATATTCATTCATTAATATATTAATGCTGATTAACCTGATCTCCTGATATAACTGCTGTACTAAATAAAATAATATAATAACTGGCGGTGCCCCTCATGGTTGGGATGCACTAACCTAAAACCCTGGACCACCTGGACTACCTGGGCCTTATTCTACCTATCTTACTGCCTGCTTCACTGCTGGTCTTGCTGCCTGCCTTACTACCTGCCTTACTACCTGCTTCACTGCCTGCCTTACTATCTACTATACTACCTATCTTACTGGGTTCTTCCTGCTGGTCTTACTGCCTATCATGCTGCCTGCCTCACTACCTGCCTTACTACCTCCTTCACTGCCTGCCTCACTGCCTACCTTACTACCTGCCTTACTGCTTATCTTACTACCTGCCTTGCTGCTTACCTCGCTGCCTGCCTTGCTGCCTGCCTTACTACCTGCCTTACTGCCTGTCTTCCTGTCTGCTTCACTGCTTACCTCACTGCCTGCCTTACTGCCTACCTACTGTCTACCTTGCTGTCTACCTCGCTGTCTACCTTGCTGTCTACCTCGCTGTCTACCTCGCTGTCTACCTTGCTGTCTACCTCACTGTCTACCTCGCTGTCTACCTTGCTGTCTACCTCGCTGTCTACCTTGCTGTCTACCTCGCTGTCTTGCTGCCTGCCTTACTATTAACCTCACTATCTACCTCACTACCTGTCTCACTTTCTGCCTGCTGTTCTGCCTGCCTCATGCATGACCTTCCTGGGGCCTTATGATCTACTATACTACCTTGCTTGCTATCCTGATCACTACCTCACTGCCTGCTGTTCTCCCTGCTATTTGACCTGCCCTTCTGCCTCCCATTCTGCCTCCTATTCTGTCTACCTCACTGCCTATCTTGCTGCCTGCCTTACTGCTTGTCTTCCTGTCTGCTTCACTGCTTACCTCACTGCCTGCCTCACTGTGTACCTTCCTGTCTACCTCACTGCCTACCTCACTGTCTACCTACTGTCTCTCTTGCTCCCTCCCTACCTACTACCTATGTCTATCATAACTATGGTTGATATTATATATATGCATATGTATAAACCACTGATTCAGCTAACATACTATATAAACCAACCGTATAATATATATCTCTGCGCATTATGGTATACTAAAATATATATTCATTCCCAAATATATCAATGCTGATCGACCTCGATCTCCTGACATAACCGCCGTAACCAACAAAATGATGTAAATAACTGGCTGTGCCCCTCGTGGTTGGGGTGCGCCTGCCCTAAAAACTGGACCACCTGGGCCTCATCCTGCCCATCAACCCCATTCCCTGCAACCAGCGCTGCCATATGGGCTCGATCTGGCCCTGCCATGGCCCGAATAACATCATGGCCACCATGGGGATCAAAAACCCGCGGTATTCGCATGCATGGCCTGGCTCCCACCCACAGCATATGGATTGGGGCATGCCGCACGAAAAACACGCGCTATACGGGGCATATTGCACTTGCCGACGCACGCGGATCATCCATGCCCGTGCGGCCTGGCTGTGGGGCTAATGACATGCATATAACTCATGGCCACCATCACCCCCCTACATGGCGCATATATAACATTAGTCCCGCCACTGCATGCATTCGGCCTGGGCCATCTCCTCATCCAAACCCTGCTGGGTCTGATGCTGCTGCTGCTGGATATCCATGGCAGCCCACTACTGGGCCTGCGCCTGCTGGGCGTGCCATACTGCCATCAGAATGGATGGCTGGCTGCAAAATAACTCATTGGATAGGGTGGGACTGGCGGCGTCCCTAGCGGCCTCACATGGTACCTGGCTCTGGCTGACCTGGGGTGCCTCTCTCCCTGCCTCACTGCCTGCCTCGCTGCCTGCCTCACATGGGGCCTCTGGGGCTGCCTCACCCAGCACTAGGCTACTACCAACCCTGGCTGGATCCACCTCCGGCTCTGCCCAATTGGGATCACACCCATCACATATCTGCTCCCCAGGATCCGCATCCTGGCAATACCGCCGCTGATACCCGTCCACCACTCCGTCCAAATACTGATCTAACACGACCCAGCGGCACCCAATGCCTTCCACCACCCCCATATACTCAGCAACCCGCTCCTGGTCCTCATGGGCGACGCCCTCCATCCATGGAGCTAGGGCATCCCACCCAGCTGGCTGGATAATAATTGCCTCACTGCGCTGTCCATCTCGCCCAGCCCGGCCACTCTCCTACGCGTAATCCAGTAACATCCGGGGGGTCCCAATATGGATGATGCTGCGGATATTAGGGATGTCCACCCCCATGCCTAACGCGCTGGTGGCGGCGATCACGGGGCTGGCCCCATGAACCGCGCCAGCACCCCGGCCTTGTCCAACTGCTCACTGTAATACGCCTCACACCCAAGCACCCGCGCCATGGCCGTCACCTGCCCAATGATATTCGCATATATGATGACCTTCCCCCCAGCAGCCCATTGGATGCGGTCCTGAATGAATGCCACCACCGCCTCACTCTCAATCCACTGATATGGGCCCCGGCCCACCCCGGTCATGTCCGGCCGCCACACCCGGTATACCACGTTCAGCCGGCTGGTCCAGGCCCGGTATATGGTCACGGCGGCCCGGTCATACTTCATCCACCGGCATAATTCGGCCTCCATGCTCGGGGGCAACGTGGCGGTCAACCATACCATCTGGGTGCGGGCCTGGACCAACCGGCCCAGCTGAGCCATCTGGGGCCGGAAATCGTGCTGGGAATTCAACACCACATGGCATTCATCGATCACAATCCGGTCCAACCGCCGGGTCCACCGCAGCCGGTTCAAAAACGTCTGGAAATCGGGGCTCACCGCGGATTCAGGCGTCACCAACACGATGGATGCGGCATCGGGGGGCCGCCGGCTCTCCCATGGCACACACGATATGCCGAGCTCCTGGCAGCGCCTGGTCATATCAGCCCGTAATGCGACGAGTGGCACCACGATGATGGTGGTGCCCCCGGGGGCGGCGAATGCGGGCACCATGAACAGCATGCTCTTCCCCCCACCGGTGGGCATCACCGCCACCACGGGGCTCTCACCCCGCTGGATGGCCCGCATCGCCGGGTCCTGCACCCCCCGGAACTGCATGTCGGGCCGCCCGGTCATGCGCTGCGCGGCAGCCTCCAGATCCATGGTGGCCAGCTGGTGGCGGCGTTCCATGCGGCTGACCTCGGCCTCATCCTCCCACGGGGCCCGTTTGCGCTTGCCTAATATGGATGGGTGGCCCGGGGCGCTATACCCTAAAAACTGATGCCAATCGGTGCTGGATAACCGGAACATCTCCCGCCGGTGGGCCGTGCTGCCGGCCTGTTCCTGCATGACACGGCCATATACCATGCCGGCGACATGTGATGAATGGGCGGCCTGTAAATCAGTAATATGGCCTATCCACTGCTCAATATCCATGCCCTCCTCGGCATCAGCATCCATGGCAGCTGGGGCCGGCTCGGCCTCCTGGATATTATGGGGGAACGCGGTGGACGGCCGCAAAAATCAGCGGCTGATGCCAATGGCGATGTCCCGGTATGCGGCGATATGGATGGCGGTGCCTAGCCGGGTGTGGGTTTCCCGTTTCAACGCCTCCCGGAACCGCTCGGATGACCATTCGCGGCCAGTACCGGGGTCGGGGCCCCATAACCATGCCTGCGCGGGCTGGCTCCCCTGCGCGGCGTCACTTCCCTGCGCGGCCGGCTTCCCTGCACAGCGTGACTTCCCTGCACGGCGTGACTTCCCTGCACGGCGTGACTTCCCTGCACAGCGTGACTTCCCTGCACGGTGTGACTTCCCTGCACGGCGTGACTTCCCTGCGCCGCCTGACTTCCCTGCACGGTGTGACTTCCCTGCGCTGCCTGACTTCCCTGCGCCGCCTGCGCCGCCTGCCATGCAGCCAACTGATTAATGAATGGCATCACCAGCCACATATACCATACTACTAACTCCCCGACCTCCCGCGGCACATATCGATGGATGATCTTCACATCATTGCTAGCGTGGAACCCCTTATGATATGCCGTCACAAATGTCACCATGCCATCCTCGATATATATATTCCGCCGTTGACTGTTCGCCGTGTTGCAATGCTGAATGCTTAACAACTCCGGGGCCCGCGCCGGCTGCCCCGCGGTGACATGCACCAGAATGGCTAATTTCTCCTTGAACTGGGCCACGCGCTGCCAGTACTGCTGGATGGCACCGCGGTGGAATCGGCCCCCCGCAGGAAATGCCGCTGCATGACCGGCTCGGCCCACAGCCGGTCGATCATCCAGTGGGTCCCATCCACCGGCCACTGGGTCCGTGCGTCGTGCAAAAAGTTCCACCCCGCCTGGCTCTGGCTGGGATCGTCATATAATGCCGTCCAGGGAATGGCAGGCATCTGCGCATGATCCTGCATGCATAAATGGCCAAGTATCTCCCTCACTGCAGTTACTAATCCATGGATGAATCCCCGAAAATCCCCCATTGTGAATGCCATCTGCTGATATAACAGTTGGTCCTCCCCCATCCATGTCACATGTCCGGGCGCGGTATGATTATAATGGACCTTTAATCCATACGTGCGCCAGTCTAGCAATGTTTCCATGGGGCCGTGTGTCCCACGGATCATAAACTGGTGCATCATCCATGTCACCTGCTCCTGGAACGGTCGGCGGCTCTGGCGAATGTTGACCGCGGGCAATGGATCATCGCTATGGATGGATGATGGCGGCGATGATGGTGGCAATGATGGGGGGTCATCGCTGCCATATCCCTCATCAATCTCCCCAAGTTGATCATCTGCGCTAGCTAGCACCCATTCAGCGCTCTGGTCCTTTTGTATCCAGGTCTGAATGATCTGCCATGGATTCGGGTCCATCCATAATGCTTTCTGGACCACCATGAATCGGGCCACCTTGATCACGCGGGATAATATTGGTGGGTAGCTCTCTGGGTCCCGCCAGCCAGCCTCACCCTGACCAAGTACGGCCATGGCGCATACTAATGCACTCTCATATTCGTGGCTGCGATGGCGCTGGTTGAGCAGCTCAATGCAAAATTCTAAGCATGCTTTTTCTATAGCAGTCATCGCCCATACCTCTAGGTCCTCTGGGTTCTCCAGGTCCTCCAGGTCCTCCCGGTCCTCCCGGTCCCCTGGAACTGCGGCCTGGCTAGCGAGCTGCCACAGCTGCCGCCATTTCTGGCGCTGCCGCGCGGTCATCCCATATTTCAGGCTGGTCCAGCCGTGCGGGGCCTGCGTGCGGGCAATGAATGCTAATATCTGCTGCCATGGACGGACATGCTTCTGGACCGCAGCCTCATCCATGTATGCCAGCAGCGGCCGGTATGGGGTCTGCCCCTTTTCGGACCGGACGGCTTCCACCCGGATGGCCTGGCCGCAATGCTGGACTGTCTGCTGGCTCTTACGGGCAACCTGCTCCATGGTGGCCCAGATGACCTGCACGCGCTGCTCAGTGGCATCCTGGGGATCTTCCTCCGGGGCTGCCACGCAGGCTAGCAGGTCATGGGCCTGGGTGCCCTGCAGATAGTCGGCCCACCAAGTCATCCGCAGCCAGGGGTTCGCGTCAGTCAGCTGGCTGGCCTGGATGGCCTGATCGGCCTTGGCCCGGGCCTGGGCCTGCTCCCAGGCCTGCACCACCTCATCCACCGCAGCCTGCACGCCCTGGGTAGATGGGGGTGGGGGGACCCCATCTGGATATCGAATATAGATATAGTGGGACCCTGGACCACTAGGGAACACCTGCTGCCATGAGACATATTGAAATGACTGCTGTAGCTCTGCCTCACCCCTAGCCTTCTCCTTTGGGCCTACCCGCCCGCGATGGCCCTGCTGGGACCACTGGTGAACTATTCGCCAGTGCTTTCGCATAGATTTCATAGTAGAGGCAATGAATAAGCATAGTGGATCTCGCTGGCAGAGCAAGCCATTTAATTGACATGGTAATATAGGCAGTGGCTGATCTAATTCATATGGTATGCAGATTGCACTACTCTCATACTGAATATCATCCCATTGAGATATTGCCTGGATGATCTGGCTAGTGACTGCATGCTTTAGGTGATGCTTCTTCTTAAGATGCTGATCCACCTCTGCTGGTCGCACCCCCTGCTGGCATTGATGGCAAATGAGTATGCCTAGGGTCGGCACCTGACAAAATAACTGGTTTTCCATAATAACTATGGATGAATATGGATGGATTAAATGAATTTAAATGACTATTTATGAATTCTAAGAGATGGGAATACCTCTACCCCTGAATCTAATGCAGGTGCGGGTGATACCCCAACAAAATTACAGAGGTTGAATAAGGTAATTTTATAACCACACCACACCTTCAAGAATGAATTAATAGACCTTAAATTTAACTAGTGAAAAGATAAATAGCTACTCTATATAAGGAAAAAATCTGAGCATTATCAGCCTATTAATACTAAATGCACCATGCCACTAAGTGTGTAAACCCACCATGCGCGGACTTGGGGTTTGCCAAGCAATCAGTAGCTACACACCCTAAACGCACCATGACCATGGTGCTCCACCCCTTGTGGGATAGAGTATATTAAATACCTATATACCTAATCCCTTATTCCCTAGCTCTAAAAGCTACCCTTATCCTCCCCCTACTATAAAGGGGCCCTATTATTTTATAGATTTAGTATATCTTATTCTACTAGATATAATAGATAGGCCTAGATATATCTAGATAATTATAGAATTACTAGGCTAGTATAAGTTAAATATATTGATTTCCCTTCATTATATATATTTATAAATTAAATGTCTCCCTAGATCTAGATGACTCTACTATATATATAGTTACTAACTAAAGCTTTACCTACATCTGAATGACCCTACTATATCTATATTTTAGACCTGTTAAAGCTGAATCACCTAGTTAAGATAGCTAACACAGTGACCTATTGAAGCCAAATTACTAGGCTGAGCCATACTGAATCACCTAGTCTAGATAGCCCATGCAGAGATCTACCAAAGCTGAATCTCCTAGTTGAGAGAGCCCACGCAGGGACCTATTGCAGCCGAATCACCTAGTTGAGATAGCCCACGCAGGGACCTATTGTAGCTAAATTAACTAGTTGAGATACCCCACGCAGGGACCTATCGAAGCCAAATCACTAGGTTAAGCCATACCGAAACAACTAGTCTAGATAGCCCACGCAGGGACCTATCGAAGCCGAATTACCTAGTTAAGATAGCCCACGCAGGGACCTATCGCAGCCGAATCACCTAGTTGAGATAGCCCACGCAGGGACCTATTGTAGCTAAATTAACTAGTCTAGGTAGCCTGCTTATAGGCCTCTCCCTACTATACTACTAAGTCTAGACCTACTCTCTAAATGAAATCCACAAAACATTAACTTCTATGAATTTTTAAAAATTCTAGCTTAGTATTACTAAGCATACTATATATCATTCTTCTAGTTAAAATTTGGCCTATTAACTAAAAATAATTATAATTAGTCAGCAGGTAATAAATTTCAAAGTGTCTTTTAAGGATTTTTAAAAAATTAGGAATCATGCTTACATAATCAGACTATTATCATTCTATAGCTAAAAGTCCCTACTATTTACTAAAAATATTTATTATTAGTCACCTAGTACTAGGCTTTTAATAAATACTACTAATTATTTTTCTCATAATTTCTGCCTGAATTCTAAGGCCCTTCTAGGTTAATAGATGCCTCAGGCACTAATCCAGGCTAGGTGGTGGCCTAAAAGGGTATAGGCTTCCCGCAGATAATCATCTTGGCACACCCCAGCAAAAAATTTCGACCTGGCACCTACCCCCCTAGTTTAACCACCTTGCTAGCGAATAATCAAGGATTTGATATTAGAATATAATAATTTAGCTAATTAGATTCATAAAGCATTTTAAACCATTCAAAAATATCAAGAATTGACTAAGATATGGGCCATTGCCGTGGAGTCCGCCAAGGCAGGATGATCAGGACCGTGGAATCCGGACTGGACGGGAATGGACGTGGAAACTGCGGTCACCAGGCCCTGCGGTCGGCCCTATTTAGTATGGGAACCGTGGAGTCCGCGCACAACACCGCTAGTAGGGCTATCGCGGCATACATCATTGGGATGGCTGCTACTGCCTTAACAGTTATTGCGGAGCTCTTATCAATACTACTCAAATAGGGCCAGTTCCAGCACTTATCTGCTCCCTTGTAAGCCAATAAATATGTGATGAAAAGAGCCAAAGGCTAACCTCTTCCAGATTACTACAACATCCATTGTTGGTGCATCAATTACCGTGACGATTCTATACAGCTCAGTATCTGCCGGGATCCGAACATTTCTAGGTGACTTTTCAGTCAATTCTCATCTTAGCCCACGTATGCTTGCGGCAACATGGCTAGCTAGTGCTTTTTCATTGGGAGCTTCACTTTTTTCTCTATTAGGCACCTGCTACCTATATGCCTGAGAGAAGCCACCATTGCTTGAGAGTACCTCATGTCTCTGCTCGTTCTACAGATTATAGCAGGCTCAGGGTAGTCCCAAATAACTATAGAAGGTGATTACATGGACTCATTATCTTAAGGCAGTTTCTCATTTTGGCTTGTGACTCTTCTAAAAGTTCTACATAACCCCTTCCCTTCAACCATGCTTATTTACAGTGATCGGGCCTGTAGTTTACAGGCTCCTAGTCAGGGATTTTACAGTCCTTTTCTTTTGTTAATCTGGACTACGTCTATGCACTGTTTTAGAGTCGTTACGGGAAGAAACCTGGAATTAAGTGTGACTAGGAGGCTTGTAAAGTGTAGCCGTTGAATAGAGAATAAGAACAGTAACAGTGCTTTGAATATGGTACATCGCGGCGTAGCTTCTACATTACTAGGGCCTGAGAAATACATTTTATGTATCTGTCACCATTTTCTGTGCACCATCGATGAAGACTTCAATAGTCTGGTGCGATATTGACAGGCAAATTCTAGTATCAGCTAACGTCTCTGGACAAAGGCCATGCTTAACCCACTCTCTGGACTTCGCGCAACATCCCATAAAGTAACGAACATGGGAATGTTATCAGGACACTGATCATAGCATTGGATTGTAATTTCGACCTCGGTCGCTTCCTTGCGCGTGGGTGGGAAGGGTCTGAGACGCAGCTTCTGACAGATACTCTTAATTCAATTTCGGGGACTGGCAGCAGGCTTTCCCGGGGAGTGAGACATATTTCTGTCTTTAACATAGTTTCATGCAGTCTCAAGGCTACAATGAACGTTTTATAGTCTCATAAACGAAATAACAAACTATCTCTAAGTAGACACTATCGCTCATCGAAACGATCAAGAGGCATGATTAACAACTAAGGCTTCACTAATGGCTGTCCTTGTGCCCTTTTGAGTATTAGCTCATAAGCTCAGGCTGGGTGATGAGTTAGCTGGGTGATGTGGTACTGCCCACCCAGGCATTCTAATTCTAAATACTATTAGAACAGCTCCCAGAGATCCCCTTGCCTCTTAATGTCAAGATTCTATTACCTTCTCTCTATAAAGTCAATTCTACATCCCCCTTAGCCCCATTAAATGGCGCGCTCCTGTGATAGATGCCCCTACCACTAGCTGGTTGGTTTCTCCAAGTCCCTATTTGCATGGTGCTACCAATGATTACTTCAGCCGTGGCATATTCAGTGAGTAAGGTGGAGTAGAAAATGCAATCTGCTATAACCTCTAGAGGGCTGAATTCAAGCTCTGTGTGACTTTGTGTATTCACTGAGGTTCCACCACTACTACAAGTAGCTCTTAGTGCTGTGTGATACCAAGCTACCAGTGACTCTGCTTCCACTATAGCATGGCTATGCTTATATATACTAATAATGAATGGTAGTAGGGTTCACCATCCATCATGTAGCATATTCTCTGTGTAATTGAATGGGCCTTGCTGGTGCTAAATAGCTTATACCTGCCTTTATGAAGTAGTCTGATCTAGTAGGACTCACCATAGTCATTCTATAAAATGATTTCAACAAATTCTAGGCGGACAGATAAGACCTCTTGCTAGCAATCATGCCAGAGGTCATCCCCACGCCAAAGCCAGTTCTTGCCATAGCCTGGCAAATTAGTATAGAACCATGGAGATACCAGTATCATATAGGCTAAACCCTCTAATTTATTAAGGAGTTTTAGATAGGATAAATCCACCTACATGTTCATATCTTGTGGGCCAGAGGGCTAGGCAGCCTAGCTAAAAAGCCTGTTCATAATTCTATACCCCTTCTCCAATGCTGCCTTGGCTCCCAGTAAGGACCAGTTAGGAATAAAGAAGCAATCTATGCTGGCTTTAATATTTCTCCACTCCTCTGCATTCTCTGAGCCCTCAAAGGTGGATGCTAGCGGACGACTATTATTCCTATAGTAAGCCTTATTTACTTTATATCTTAATAATAACTTAGTCATGTTATCTTGGTTCCATGGCCCGCGGGCGATATAGTTAAAGGAAAAGAAAATCTTAAACCTGGCGGCCTGGGCGGCTTTGAAAGCTAGTGGTATTAATTAAGTGTTAATAGTGTCCTTACCATGATATTCAATGCGAAGGCGTCTATCTAGGTATCTTGGGCTAATCTTATGTGTTTTACCCAGTCAGCACTTGTGAAGTTAGCTGAGTTGGAAAGCTAGGATGTGGTCAGAAATAGTGATGAGGATTTACGAGCGGTACACACTAGAAAGTG